AAACTTCTTCCAATCATTTTCTTTATTATAATTTTTTTATTATTATTTGTAATTATTTGTGTTATTAATGCACGGCAAGCATCCTAATCGTTAAAACACCGGTAATTGCCCAACAGTGCTACTTTTGCTTTCTACGTGTTTCTAAACAATCTTAACCGAAACTTTTGTATACGTGTCATCGATTATTTTTTTCTTATAAAAAGTACCCGTACTCGGTACTTCAAGTAGTTACATCACTAACGCAGGTATGCATCGAAAATACACATATTCAGTGTCACATATCTGCTGTACACAAATCCAATCAGCTGTGTTGGCTAAATATTTGCTGTCAAGAAAAGCTACAAAAAAATACATTTTCAATAGAGTTTTTAAATTAAATTTTATTTCGTTTCAAAAGCCGATTTTATTTACGCGCAACTTCTATTTTCTATGCTTCAAAAATTATTTACTTCGTGCAGCTGGTAGCGTTAATTGGAAACATGCTTTACTGTTGATAAATTCTTGAAGAGTAGTGTAAAGTTCGCTAAAAAAGCGATGAAATAGAAAGTTTTTGAAATTATATACATTAATTATATACAAAAAACTTTCGACGTTTTCAATCTATGGCGCTGAAGTTGTGGTGAGTCAAATTTCATACATATTTCGCTTGGTTACAGCTAACTGATAAAGATATGCCATTAATTGAGAACGTTGGATGTGATGTAACTATTCAAGCATTTTTAGAAATGTTCACACTTTCTACAAAATCATCATGATTTTCGCAATTAATAAAGTTGGGTACTGCCAAATTGGCTTGACGTCTCATCTGTATGAGTACATGTAGCGCTGTGCTTGTGATATTTGTGCAGATGCGCATGCTTATTTTTACACTCCATTTTAATCTACTTCAGCGACACAATTAAATCAGCGCTCATTATTATGTATTATTTTAAACCGTGTTATATTCAAGTACCCAGATGTGACAAAAGCCCTTTGTTTACTTATTTATCAATAGTATAGTCGCACGTACAGACGAAATACTTGAAATGTAAAGTGGTTTTAAAAAGTTCTTGATAAAACTGCCATATTTGTACATACATGCATATTCAGTTATTATTCAATCTTAAAGTGATCCTGAACTATTGAATAAACAGGCGCAACTAAAGATTATTTTAAATACATAGAAACCTACTGGCATTTCCATCTAGGTAGTGTCGTTGCAATAAAATTGCAAAGAGATTTACAATTTATCTAACTTTCAGATATTTTATAGAACAAAATAGTTAAAATAATAGCGTACGCTATAAGATAGGTAAAAAATGACGAATATCGGCAATTTATTGCACTGCGTGTCCAAACAAATTAAACGCTCTGAACGCGATGCTCTTATCAGCTCGTTACTTGCCAAAACAACGGAGACAGAAAATGTTAAACCAGATCATTGTGCTATAAGGCGTGTTGAAACATTAGAAAAGGAAGCTTTTGCGGTAAGTATATACCATATACGAATAACACAAAAATTTAAAAAACGACGTTGCCTGCTCCTCCAGTTCTTTGCGCAAGCTCTGCATATGTATCAAGCGAACGAATGGATGATATCGTTTAACGGCGGAAAAGATTGCACTGTTTTGCTGGACTTATTGCAAGCCTTCTTTAAACGCAACAAATGTATCAGTCATATACGCGTGCCAGTATTGTATATTGAGGCGGAAAACAGTTTTGAAGAGGTCGAAGCTGTGGTGCTACATTGCGAAAGACGCTATAATATAGACTTAATAAGGCGCAAAGGTTGTATAAAGGATGTGTTGACGCAGGTACTCGAAGAAAAGCCAGAGATACGTGCTATATTCATGGGCACAAGACGCACGGATCCATATTGTGAGAATTTAAATGCTATGCAGGTATGTTTGCAAAAATATTGAATTTTTAAATTTTCTATGTATTTTTATGAAAAATATTTAGGTTACAGATGCTGGCTGGCCAAGTGTAATGCGTATAAACCCATTGCTCGATTGGAGCTATAGAGATATTTGGTATTACACATTCGTGCGTCAAGTGCCCTACTGCCGTCTATATGAGGAGGGCTATACATCGTTGGGTCAAAAGCACAATACAATGCCAAATCCCCATTTACGCATATTTGATCCGGTTACCAGAGCTGTCACCTATAAACATGCCGCTGAACTGATGGATGCTGAGTTCGAACGCGCTGGCCGCATTAAAAAAGATTACGTGCCGAATTGTGATAAAGAGCAGGAGAGCAAAAACCAAGAAGCTGTCGAAGAAAAATAGCATAAAAGTAAAAATTATTCTTAATTTAGTATTCACAAATAGCTAAATTGTTAACATCGTGATAAATTCAAATTCGGTAAATTAAATTTATATAAAATCTCATATACACTATGCAACATAGTGTTAATATTTTAGAAAATTCCAAATAAGTGCGCTTATAAAACTAGAACTACAAAAACTAAAAATTAAACATAGAACACGCCTGTATATAGTAATATTCGCTATTTACCAAACAGAATATGTGAATTTTATAAAAACTATAGAAATTAATTCTTTGTTTATAAATTGAACCTAGAGGCTTCAATTATAAATCGATTTCACTTATAAGTTGGTGGTTTTAAGCATAGCTATATAAAAAAACGTACGTACTTATATTGCAATTTTATTAGAACTCGCAGAAGATATTCCACTGAAAATATGTATATGAACACATTTTAATGAAATTTATTGTACTTAAATAAATTTTTCTTTACTGAATTGTCACCTATATTCAGTAAGTAAAATCGGTGCTAAACAATTAAAAACGAATGTTTTCTACAGCTAAAATGCTGTTTTATTTTTCTTTTAATTTTTAGGCTTTAAAAAAACTTTTTTTTACTTATGTACAATAGCTATTTTCGCTAAAGTTATATTTTTATTTTATATATATATTTTTTATTTCATACAAAATTAATTAAGTTTTTGTTATTTTCAGCGTCAGACCTCAAAAATTAAATGTCCGCTGTCCCAATATTTTTGGTATGCGCTGTTGTCAATCGTATGTGAATAACAATCAGCTGTTCGTCAAACTAACGGCATAACCTCATTTTACCTGCTGTGCGCCATTTTTGCTAATTTCCATTTGTTTCGCAACCGTTAGAAAAAAATTGCACGCATTAGAATAGAAGCTGGAATAAAAAATCAAAAACGCTACAAATAATTAAGTAAAACAAATGTTTTGCTTGCAAAATAATCGAAAACAATATTAATTCTTTGCGTGTGAGTCATCGCTGCGGAAAACAAGTATGGCTCGTTCGGCACAAGATGCTCTCGCTGTATTGCGGGGAATACAATTGGTAGTGGAGGCGTTATGTCGCGAGCAGAGCGCCCTATGTAAAAACCGTTGGAATCAGTCGAGTGCACGCGAACTTTTGCAAGGTAATCTACAGCAAAGCGCAAATTATATTCAAAAAGTTGGTGAACAACCTGCTGAAGAATTCAAAAGATTACAACAATTGCTGCGGGAAACCAGTGAACGTACTTGTGTTGTAATTGAAGGTTTACGTCAATTAGGTGTTGCGAAACAGCCTTGCGATTTGCGTATGAGTCAGCAAAAATTGCAGCGTGCAATGAGTGACGCTTTCGATGGCAGCAATGTTGGTGACAAGCAGCAGCCAAGTAGCTTGAAACCAAATACTAGTGCTAGTAATCGTGATAACAATAAAGCGGCTGGCCAATTGGATGCTGAACACTTGGATATATCTTCGATAACATTAAATGAGCTGCAAGATATATTATCCAAACGTAATAAAGATCGTCATATAAGCTTGCGTACACCAGTAACAGAGCATAAGCAAGTCAAAGATGATAGTGTGCAAAAAACTGAAACAATTGCAGCTGCTACCGCTGAAGCAGCAACAACAGGCACCATAGTTACACCTACAACGGCTGACACAAAACCTGTAACTAGCGCCATAAAAGCTGATACAGTTTACGTGGAAAATATATTAAAAGCTATCGCAGGACAAACGGAAACGCCGACAGATACTGCTCAGCACACGTCAGCAATAGAATTACCAACATTAAGCAAAGTTGCGAAACAACGACGTGTTCCTTCTAGTCGTTTCGGTCGCATGGCCTCCTTTGGTGGATTATTCGCTGGTTTAGGTGTCGGCACCATAAATGAATTAACCAAAGGTGCGCTCGGCCTTGGCGGTTCCAAAAATTTAAAAGAGGCTTTATTAAGTCCAGCCAATGCTGAACGCATTGTGGACACACTTTGCAAGGTACGCGGTGCAGCATTGAAAATCGGCCAAATACTTAGCATACAAGATTCGAATGTGGTGTCACCGCAGTTGGCAAAAGCTTTTGAACGTGTACGCCAAGCGGCCGACTACATGCCAGATTGGCAAGTAGAACGTGTGATGAACACACAATTAGGTGCCGACTGGCGTGATCTGCTGGAATCTTTCGATGATAAACCATTTGCAGCTGCCTCCATTGGCCAGGTAATGTGTGTAAAACATTATTGCAGAAATATTTTTGAATTTAAATTTCTAATTGTACAGGTGCATCGCGCAACACTGAAAAACGGCATGCAAGTGGCTATAAAAATTCAGTATCCTGGCGTAGCGCAAAGTATCGGGAGTGATATTGATAATTTAGTAGGCATGCTAAAAGTGTGGGATGTATTCCCGCATGGCGTTTTCATCGACAATGTGGTTCAGGTGAGCCTTCGAATAACTTATAAAGAAAGTTAAAATTAAACATAAATATCGCTTTGAATTGTAGGTAGCCAAGCGCGAACTCAACTGGGAAGTAGATTATACTCGCGAAGCTGAGTATACTGACAAATTTAAACAAATGATTGCTCCTTATCCAGAATACTATGTGCCTACAGTTATTAAAGATTTGACCACAGGTAGCGTGCTCACAACAGAATTGGTGCCGGGTGTGCCACTGGACAAGTGTTTTGACTTAAGGTAAATATGTGCGCTATTTGCTATTTTTATGTTGTTGTTGTGTCGACATAAAACATACTGAAGTAGTTTTGAGGAATAGGTGCTCTATTGACAGCCGGCTCCGGCTCTGTTGCTGCGCTTACTTAGACCCGATGTTGTGGGAACGAAGCTTCCTTGAATGCTGTCTAAAGCAGTGCATACATTGTCATCACTACAATAACAATGTTTATTATTTATGCCAAAATTATTAATTAGGAATTCTTAAACTTATCTCTTCTTTTTTCAGCTATGAGCATCGTCATCACATTGGTTCGTCGGTGCTTAAGCTTTGTTTGCGCGAACTATTCGAGATAGAGTGCATGCAAACAGATCCCAATTGGTCGAACTTCCTTTACGATGTTGATACCAAGCGCCTAATGTTAATTGATTTTGGCTCAACACGTTTTTATCAAAAGAAATTCATAAAAAACTATCGACAGGTAAGTCTGTCAAATTTTGACTGCCACTTTACTCCTAAATATTATAAATTACATTTTGCAGATAATTATAAATGCCGTGGAAGGCAACCGTGACGGCGTTTTGCTCATGTCACGTGAAATGGGCTTCCTCACTGGCTATGAAACCAAGCAAATGGAGGAGGCACATATCGACGCCGTAATGATATTGGGCGAAATGTTCCGTTTCGACGGCGATTTCGATTTTGGTAAACAAGTAAGTGTTGTTAATTTTCTTTTGAATTTTTTGAAATCGCATATGTGACACATATTGTCTTTTTACTTTAAACGTGGCATAAAACGCGTTATCCACAGAATACCACTGAACGTATTGCACATTTAGTACCAACAATGATTGCCCATCGCCTATGCCCACCGCCAGAGGAAATCTATTCGATACATCGCAAATTGTCGGGCATATTTTTGTTGTGCGCTCGCCTTAATGTACATCTGAATTGTCGGCCCTACTACGAAGATATTGTGATTAAGAAGTTTAAGGAATGAAATTGTAACATATTTAAATATTTAAGGTTGTGAAAATTTCCTCTTTTTATTTTTTTTTTCCAAATTTTAAGTTTTCACACATCATTTCATTATTGCGTCTTTCACTCCATTTCCATTGCTTTTTGTATGGCCTTTCCAGTTTTTAAAATCCTCCATTTTTTATTTTTTTTTGTCTTTTGAAAAGGCATTTATGGTAAGCTTAGAGTTTATTTGAAATAATCGAAGAAATAAAAGTAAAACGGACTAAGAAAGTCTCTTTGATGACTGTATGTAGTCTTGTTGAACCACTATTGTAAACAAACGACCTTTCACTATTGAACTACTCCAGAACCATTATCATTTCTACTCCCTACCACCACACAAACTTTTTATTATTACTTGTACTACTCCTTACTACTACTTTTTTAACATTTTTACTACTACTCCTACATTTTACTACTAATTGTTACAAAACACTACTACTACACCTTACTACTACCACATTTTACTACTACTACGTTTTACTATTATTACTACTACATTTTCTACTCCTACTACTTTTTTCTACTACTACTACTTTTTTCTACTACTACTACTTTTTTCTACTACTACTACATTTTACTACTACTTTTCTCTACTACTACCCTACGAAAGTCGGGTCTATGTAACTGGAACGAATCTTAATCTCTTTTATCCGCTCAAGAACTCTCAACTCGACAGTATTCTGCCGCTACAACAGAAACAACTACTACTTTTTACATTTTACTACTATTTCCACACTTCACTACTAATTTGTAGTAAAATTATAGAAATTATTACTGCTTTTTTTTACAATAATACCATTTAGTACTCAAACTATTTACTACTATTATAGGAATTATTACTACTTTTTGAAAAAACTACTTTTTTGAGTTCACTAAATCTACTTTTTTGTGTTCGAACTATTACGATTATTAAAGAAATTATTACTACTACTTTTTACAATTCTACTATAGTTTACTACTATTACAACACTTTACAACTATTGCTACTAATTTCGAACTACTCTTACTACTAATTTTCACTAATACTACTTTCTACTACTGCTATTACTTTTTAAAATACTACGTTTTAGAACTCCAATTATTTACTACCCTTATAGGAATTGCCACTATTCTTTTTTGCAATACTACTTTTTTTATAATAGTGCTTTTCTACGAAGGTAAATTTTACTACTTTCTACCTACCTAAACCCACTGTTCTCATCCATCTTCACAGTGAGAGATTTTCACTAATACTACTTTCTACTACTGCTATTACTTTTTAAAATACTACTTTTTAGAACTCCAATTATTTACTACCATTATAGGAATTGCCACTATTTCTTTTTGCAATACTCCTTTTTTATAATAGTACTTTTCTACGAAGGTAAATTTCTATTCCCTTTTGCAATACTACTTTTTTGTAATAGTAATTTCTACAAAGGTAAATTTTACTACCTTCTACCTACCGAAACTCACTGTTCTCATCCATCTTCTCAGTGAGAGGTAACATATCCTGTAAGGTTTTCCCTCTAGCTATTCTCAAATTTCCAAAAATAGGGGAAACTGATAGTGGTTGTATATTGAAACCCATTGAGCAAGCCTAGCGATGAATGTCGCCTCCTCAAAGATCTCCACTTCAACAGCGTTGAATATTCTCGAGCAATTGTTAACGAGCTACTCTCCTCACGCATCTAGAGTAAACCTTGCGGAACTTCGTTCATTTTCAGAATGGATACTATAAGCGTCGCCGCATGATTCTAACCACCTCTTTGAATGTCGAATAAAACTCAGTCATCTAACACCACCCACTCTAAGGTCCGTCCCTGTCGAAACAGAACTTTTCTTGGACCTCCTGCAT